TATCTTATTCTTCGTATGCTTTTCTTGCCTAGCCCCTAACCCTTCGCGATGGATGGTAACACGTGTCAACTTGTGATAGAACAACTGTCTCTTTTAGGACATGAGACTTGTACCGTCTCTACACCGTATGGAAGCCTTGTACCTTCTATAACCTTGGATCCTGGTCACTTGGGGTACCGGGTCACCTTGGGTCACCCTCGTACCGGGTCACGTTAGGTCATCCTGGTCACCTGGGGTACCGGGTCACCTTGGGTCATCCTGGTCCACTGGGGTGCCCGAACTACTTTCGTGGCACTGGACCTTCGGGCCATTGGCTTTGTGCCGGCTTTGCAATGTAGGAAACGACCTTGTATTTTCTCTGATTCGGAACCCTGGGCCACTTCGAGGTCTTGGTCACTCCCTGTCATTCATTCGAGAGAGTGACCGAGAACCTTGCTGCCAGTTATTATAATAATTTGCGAAGGGCCTCCATTTCCTTGGCACTTCCCCACACAAGTCTTATCGAGACTTGTGACCTTCAACTCAAATTGAAAACTGATTTTATTTATGCATTAAGATTTTATAAATTGTTCTACTCTAAGTACTCTACACTAGATAAATACAATTATAATAATTATAGTATTGTTAATTTGGATATGAAAGCATCCAATCATCAGTGGATGTTGTACAGTACAACATACACTAAGTACAACTTGTACTGAGTACTACTGTATCACATATATAGCCGATACCAATAGTATACGGTATTACTGATTACTTATAATATGACTCATATATAATACTTAAACGGTGATATATTTATATGATACTTTAGCCGTGATGTACTTTCGGTATGATGTTACAACCGTCTTGTTACCCCGTTACATTAATAGCAATGCCCGTTCCTCGTTCGAGTCCAGTGCTATACGTACACCTTCGGTGAACGGCTCTGGCTCTGGCACGTTGACATAACATTAGACGAGCTCCTTGAATATTCGTGTCGATGATACGTTTGTGCGACATGTTCGCGCACCCGAAGAAAATTGTAGCTTTGTAAGATGAAGTGCGACATCTTACAAATCCCCCAGCTCACATTCGTGCGTAAAGCACATCGCACGATCGGGGTACAGGTTGGGGGTGGGTTGGATCCGTGATTGGGATCTATCGTAAACTCGCTGGCCATCCCAAATTTCACCCGAAAGCTCATTTCCAAAACTTCGTTGTGACCAGCATCAATCAAGAAACCACAAACACAATGGTCTCTTCACTGAATCTAGCAGTCTTGGTCGCTGCTTCCACTCTTGCTGTGGGTATTGCCAAGCCATTGCAGCTCTCCAGCGGTATCTTCTACGATCCTGCGCGTCACTCCCAAGTCAACACGACAGTTATTGCTGAAGACCTGAGCCTTGTTGCCCAGCACTTCTCCAGTATCCGCACGTATTCCGCGAAGTTCAATGACATCAGTGCCATCGCCATGGCAGCTTCAGCCAATCTTCGCATCGCAGTCGGCGTAAGCATGGGGGTACCCTGGTTTATAGACTCCGAGATCCAAGCGGTTTGCGACGGCGTAGCCCAATATCCTCAGACCGTCGAAGCTGTTTACGTCGGCAGTGAGAGTCTCAAGAACGGTGACATTGGCATGTACACGGCTGATCAGATCATTGGGTACATCAACGAAGTGAAAAAATGCGTTAAGGGCAAGGTGCCGGTTGGATCGATTCTGCGCGTTAACGAATGGCTACACGTTTATACTGCCGATGCGATAGCAAAGGCGTCCGATCTTGTGGGTTGCAACATATACCCGTTCTTCACGCCCGGTACTGAACCTCCGATAAAGAAGCTGGAAAGTCAGTGGGGAGAAATGGTGAAGAAGTTTGGCGACAAGGTCCGTCTAACAAAGACAGATTGGCCCCACATGGGAGAAAAAGTTGATGATAATGTCCCGTCAAAGGACACCATGCAGCAGTATTTTGACGACTACCGTACCACTTGGTCGTCCTATGGCAAGAATCAGTCGTACTATTTCAGAGCCTTCGACTCGACAGAGATCTCAGGAGCACGTTACGAGATTTTCACTGGTCTCTTTGACATCAATGGGGTACCTAACATTCAGTTGCCCGTAACGCCCTAGCCAAACAACAATGCTTTACTGCAATATGTCAACCGCATTGCCATAGTAAGTTAGAATTAGATTAAAAAATCTGATCCTTGTAGCTTTTCCATCGTTGAAGTCGAATCGACGAATTTTTGTTCGTCACAACGGTCATGCTACAGCATGAAAGTAAGATGAAATGATACGACACACAAAAGGTTATTCTATTGTCAAGTCATTCAACTTCTAGCGCTAGTTTTGCGACCACTTAAAACCTTGTTCGATACGAAGCGTCTACGGCAGCAACTGTCATCTCCTTTCTCTCCTACATCTGGACCAAAAAAGGTCTCGATAAGCTCCCTGCTCTTGTCTCCCGTGCTAGAAGGTTGTAATGTAGGGTATACCAACCAGACTGAATAAGCATCCGTCTACCTGCAGATCGGCTTTCGCTGCTCACCAGCGGACAAGTAGTGTGTGGTATCATGTAGTGCATTCCCGCGATATTTTGTGAGCACTATTTGTTTGTAAGAAAGCCAAGTTGGAGTCAATAGCGGCTGCTACGTCGTCGTAGCACATTCACTTTTTACTTACAGATACGTTCATGATGTTATTGCTGCCAAGCCACACCGACAAGTGTGACATCGTACGGACGAGTTCCGTGCTCGATATGATTCCGTCACCTTTTCATTTTGCTGTGAAATAGGGAAAGCATGACATTGTCAATGTTATTTGAAGTGAAGAGAAGGCAATACACGTTTACAAGCTGCTTGGAACGTTAAAGAGTTATACAAGGCAATTAAACCACTAAGGCCTCTGTAACGGACTTAAAGTTACACGGTTTCGATACTTCACGGGCAGGCCTAAATGGGTACGAGGTACCTTAGGCCTGCCACTTGGGTGTGGCACATCAATGTGACTCACCCTCGTGAATGTGATATTCATGGATGGATTCAGATTCAACGAGGATGACGCCAGTTGAGACTGGGCGTCATGGTGACGCTTCAAAAAGACGTCATCAGCGATCTTAAATATATTTTAAGCTCGCAGGTAAGGATACCCTTCTAAAGAGACGCGTATCCTACCTTTGCATGATTAACCAATCAGTAGTTAGTTTATATTTAGTTATCTTCTATTAAATATAAGTCAGTCTTGAATCTACTAATTGCCGTCCACTGCACACGAGAAGCTTAATAAGCTTCTGCGTGTCGTAAGTGTAGCTCTTGTCGTAGCAGTTCGTTGCGTGGAACGCTCTAAGCGGCCGGCAACACTTTGGTTCGGCGCTTTCTAGCGAACGACCAACACAATCACCACCGCACGCGAAGGTAAGACGGTATAACCGCTTCCTGGAGCTGCTTGAAGGTGTGCCCGCGTAGTACGTGGCAGCTTTTTTACGAAGTGCCCGTTTACAGCCTCGATGATGAGAAGTATCTCGAGAAAGTTCAAATAAATGGTGCCTTAGTAATTTTATGGCACGCAACGTACTAGTAGTTGACGACGGATGCATCGCTTACCAGTCATTGGAGAATGAAAGGTAACTGATGAATTCGTCGTTAATTACTCTGAGCTTTATGTAGGATTGCCAACATCATCTGTTGCCGTTGCCTCGAGATCGAGTCGAGGCTATTGAAGCTATCTTCGAAGGCCGCCACAAGGAGGGTCATGTTCGTGAGAGTATATTACCACATTCAAGTCCAATTTTCTGCGTAAAGAAGGCTACGGGAGGCTAACGGTAAGTGTATGCATCTTCTAAGCTAACTGATGCCACTAATTCTTCCAAATGCCTATTCCTATGAAGGACATGGTGTTAAATTTAATGTCAGATAGTGTCATCTTCAGTGTTATCTATTTTAAACGATGGATTTTATCCGATTTTGATGCGATCGAGCGATATCCCACTCACCGCGGTGAGCACCCGAGTGGCAACCTATGGGGGTGGATAGTTATGCTAAAAGAATTAAAGAACGCTCCGTCCACCTTCAATCGCATGGTGTCTCAAGTGTTGAGGCCATTTAGGAACTTTTCTCCTAGTTATTTCGACGGCATATTTGTCGACAGTCGCGCTGAGGGCAGCCTCAGCGATTTCCAGCTTCACCTTCAACACTCGAAATAGGTGTTTCAAGTCATGCGAGACAACAAGTTGTATGCGAATCTCAAAAGTGTGTCTTTTGTGCACCAGAGAATCCGGAGCTGGGTTGTTATGTGAGTAACTGGGGACTTCGAGCTGATCCAGAGAAGGTGTCGTCAACCTTTTTTGGCCCACTCCCAAGTACCCTATGGGGTTACTCCAGTGGCTCGGTTTGGCTAATTTCTTGCACATGTAAGCAAAAAATTGTGCTGGTTCTATACAGCCTTTGTCATCACTCTTGAAAGATGCCACGCGGTCGTGTCGTCCCGAGCCGAATCAAGCAGCCTTCAAGGTATTGAAGAAGAACCTAGCGTCTGCGCCAGTGCTGCACCTACCTGGCGAATTCAAGCCATTTCACCTGGTACGTGATGACAGTACGGTGGAAGCTCGCCTACGACCGCCTCAGTTGTATGCGAGATCTCGTTTTTGATCGCCTCGGTAAATTTGAGAGCCTCTGCTCGGCCAATGTGTGTGTTTTAGAGAGACCCTGCTCGATAGTCGATCGGAAGCTTCTGCACATACGATGTGCTTAAATGCGGGAGACCCTGATCGAACGCCTCTGCTCAGCCGATGTGCTTGTACGCGGCAAGCTCTGCTCGACCGCCTCGTTGTGAATAGGGAACCGCTGTTCTACCGATATCTGAATATGCAGGAACCCCTGTTCGACCGCCTCAAATTGATCGGGAAACCCTAGTTGACTGATATCTCTGTGGCGGAGTGGATTATTAAAAAACGTAGGGAGCCACAAACACATACAGCGCCGGACTTCCGACTTACGGAGGAGGTACCCCGATACCGTGTCGTGTTAACCTTGGGTCTCAACTTGTGTACCCGTCGGCTTGGCTGGTCTTACTCCTCGGTTGACGCAGAAGACTTAAAGACTTGGTCTTGTATAGAGGAACTTGGTGGTCCCCGAGTGGATATGCTTCACTCGGGACCGGGTTTCTTGTGCTCGATCGACTGAGTCGAGAGCGATGCACCTGGTACTATGTACCCCTTTGGTGGCTGACTGTTCTTGGTCTTTCGACCTTTTTTCTTGTTCCCCGTAGGGAAACCGCTTCCTATAGCGGGTCTTGAATGGGTACGAACCCACAGGCCAAAATACTTCCTGGGGTTCGTTCAAGCTTGAATCTTACCACACGACTGTCTTTAACGGGGGGGGGGGCAAAATAAATCCCTTCCCCGGAAAAGGTGGGTATATCGAAACAAGTTCGCACTTAAGTTTTGACACTTACTTGGCACCTCAGGTCAACTATTCTGAGGTTCAACTTGCGTTGTTTGAGCCGTCACCTCACCTGACATCGGAGGGCCAAAGGGTATCCCGCCCTGAAAAGGTGAGGTGCGGAGAAGAGCTTGGAGGGGGGGCGCTTAAAGATTCCACGTCTAATGCACATTCGAGTGTGTTTATTTATCTTATTCTTCGTATGCTTTTCTTGCCTAGCCCTAACCCTTCGCGATGGATGGTAACACGTGTCAACTTGTGATAGAACAACTGTCTCTTTTAGGACATGAGACTTGTACCGTCTCTACACCGTATGGAAGCCTTGTACCTTCTATAACCTTGGATCCTGGTCACTTGGGGTACCGGGTCACCTTGGGTC